GACTGCAAGCTTCCAAAAGAAGGGACTATGTCCCGCTCAGAGTTGAACGGGAGAGTCCTTGGGGCTCTCTGAGCTTGGTGGTTGGCTTGGAGAGGTTTCATGACCCAACTAGGGAACATCATCAGTGTGAGTGAAGACGTTCCCTAGCTGGGTCATGAAACCTCTCCAAGCCAACCACCATGCTCAGAGAGCCCCAAGGACTTCTGTGTAAGCTTTGGAATGCCAAGCCCCAGGAAAAGGACTTCCTTAGCTCTCCCCCTCTAATTTCCTGGATGCCCAGCAAGTTGGCCATCTGCTGCCCCTTCTTGCCGGTCCCCAGGATCCGAACATGGCTGGCTCTTTTACAGCGCCATAGTTAATTCTTATTAATAAGCCTGTCTTCCATGAATTGTTCCCAGTCCTGCTTTAGAAAAGCCCGTGGTGTCTTTTTTCAGAGAGATGCACCCTAACCAAACTTCTGAAGCAGCTTTCCAAAGCTCTCTTGTGCTAAATGCAGCCACCTTTTGATGGAGCAAGCAGCATCTGGCTTCTCACTGGCTAAATAGGGACTCCTAGTGCAGGGACAGCAAAGAAAGGGCCAGATGAGCCAACAAGAGGAAAAAAGAGTGTAAGGGACAGGGAATAGTAGATGGAGAGCTGCGGGCAGGTTTTCCTAGCGCAACCATGTCGGGGTGAATAACATAACACGAGCCCCTGCAGCTTAGGAGAAGCTGTGCAAACAGTTGGCTTGGTCTACATTTCTGACGAGTTGAATTGCACAGATGGGCGCGGGGCAAATCTGCTGCTCTGCGATGTGTGAACAGCATTGTGGTGATGGCGCAACGCTTATGTCGGTGCTGCTTGGATGGCCGCCGCAAAGCAGCATCTTTGGGGGGGTGAGGGAAGGGCAGCCTGTTTCACGGCCCCAGCTGGGCTCCCGCACACGGCCTGCCCAGGAGAGCTACGGCTCCCTTCCTTTCGCCCGTCGCCCCTGCAGATCTTTTCGATTCCACATCACAGCCCGCTCAAGGCTGGCCCGGTTTCTGCCCGTCGCTTCTGCTCACCGCAGAAATCGGGAGGCTGCGAGCGAGGGCGCCTTGACCTCCAGCCCTGCCTTGCAAACTCGTTTGCCCGATAAGGAAGCCCAAAGAAGAGACGGCTAGTCAGGGATGGGCCCCCAACCCGCTTCTGCCAGCGTTTTCCTGCCCCTTCCTGTTCTTTCCAAAGCACTATTCCCCCTTTCCAGAGAACGAGAAGGTGTGTGTTCCCCTGTGTCTGCCTCTGCCCACCTCACAGCTCAGCTGAAAGGCAAGGATCTCTCTCTCCCCCCCCCCCCCTCTTCACAGTTATATAGCTGGATATATTATATTTACTTATATTTCAAATTTGTCACCGCCCATCTCACTGTATATAGCAGGGTTCCTCAACCTTGGCAACTTGAAGTTGGGTGGACTACAACTCCCAGAATTCCCCAGCCAGCCTTGAATTCCCCAGCCAG